TGAAGAAGCTGCGGCGCTCAGGGTGCTCCGGGTTTCCCCTCAGGGAGCGCGCGCGGGTTTTTAGGTTCGGGTTTCTTGCGAGGGTTTCTTGCGGCCGCGACCGCACGGTACACCACGTCGTTTGGTTGGCCATGGAGCCAAGGCGTTCGGCGAAGGAATTCGGTGGATGGACGCTCCAGCGCCCCACGCGTTGGGAAGCCGGGGCGTTTGTACACCGTGCGCCTTGGCCGACCAGACGGCTTGGTGTGCACTCCGAGCCCCCTCAAGACTCGAGAAGGCCGACCTCCGAACACCTTCTCCCACGCTTTTTCACGACGCGAGGAGGTCTGGGCCAAATCTCGAACGACACGACGACGACGACGACGACGACGACGACGACGACGACGACGACGACGACGACGACGACGACGACGACGACGACGACGACGACGACGACGACGACGACGACGACGACGACGGCGACGACGACGACGACGACGGCGACGGCGACGGCGACGACGACGACGACGACGACGGCGACGACGACGACGAGTCGAGAAGGCCGACCTCCGAACACCTTCTCCCGCGATTTTTCACGACGCGAGGAGGTCTGGGCCAAATCCCGAACGACACGACGATGACGACGACGGCGACGACGACGACGACGACGGCGACGGCGGCGGCGACGACGACGACGACCACGGCGACGACGGCGACGACGACGACCGACGGCGGCGACGACGACGACGACGACGACGCCGACGGCGACGACGACGACCGGCGGCGGCGGCGTCGACGCGGGCGCCCCGTTTGCGGAGCGCGGCCCGGCCCCCGCGGGAGGCGGACGTGTGGGCCCTCGGGGTGGTGACGTCCTGGGCGGCCGGCGCCCAGACCGCCAGGGCCCCCGCGCCAAGTGTGCCCCCTAGGAGGAGGAGGAGGAGGAGGAGGAGGAGGAGGAGGAGGGAGGAGGAAGAGGAGGAGGAGGAGGAGGAGGAGGAGGAGGAGGAGGACGTGGGGCACCTGGACAGGGCCCATTCCGACTCCTCCACTTCGACTCGATGCGCTTTCGGTGGCCTCTGATTCCGATCTGTGTGCCTCGGCTCTGGATGCCGGTCTGGGTGCCGACGTCTTGCTGCGGGCATGCTGAGCCTGCCGACCTCCGCCGCTTCGACGTCTCCCAACTCGGCTGCCGATTCCGCCGATCCGATTCATGTCGGCCGCCGATCCGACCTGTCGATTCGATCCTGGGCTCTCCTGCCTTCCCGGCCCGCCGTTAAGCATCCGGAGGCCTCCAGGGGCCTTTGGGGACGCCTGGAGGTCTCCGGAGGCCGTCGACGCAGCCGCCACCGCCGCCGCTGCCGTCGCCGCCACCGTCGTCGTCGTTGGCGTCGCCGTCGTCGCTGTAGTCGTCGTCGTAGTCGTCGTCGTTTGTCGTCGTCGTCGTCGTCGTCGGTCGTCGGTCGTCTGTCGTCGAGGTCGTCTGTCGTCGTCGTCGGTCGCCGTCGTCGTCGTCGTCGTCGTCGTCGTCGTTGTCGTCGTCGTCGTCGTCGTCGTCGTCGTTTGTCGTCGTCGTCGTCGTCGTCGTCGTCTGTCGTCGTCGTTGTCGTCGTCGTCGTCGTTCGGGATCGGGCCAAGAGCCCCTTGCGTCTTGAGGAATCGCGGCAGAAGGTTTCTGGTCGTCGGCCGCCCCCGTTGCCGCCATCATCGCCACAATCACCTGCGTCATCAACCCATGGTCATCATCATCGCTATCGTCGCCACCAGCAGCATCGGCGCCGTCATCTGCTTTGCCGTTGTCATCGTCATCGTCGCCACCACCATCGCTGTTATGATTCAGGAGGGGAAAAAAACACAGACACAATTAATCGTCGACTCCCAGGAAAATATGGGAAAATATGGAAATTGGGCGGGAAGACAAACACCCAGAAAATATGGAAAATATAGGGAATCATTTTATTTGTGTGTATTTATTCGTGTGTCCCAGGGCCCCTTCAATCGTTGCCGCCGCTATCGGCGTCATGACATCGCGCCCCAGGTCCCCGACCCGCAGAAGGAGTGTCCGCGTGCCCGCGCGGCCTCTGAGACGCGCTGTGAGGTTCTCATCGGCAAGCGCCATCGCGGCCGCACCAGGTGTGCCAAACCCTCCTCCTCCTCCTCCTCCTCGTCCTCGTCCTCGTCCTCCTCCTCCTCCTCAGCTAGCCGCGCGCGAGCGTGCACGCGCCGTTGTCGCCGTAGACCGCAAGCGTGGCCAAATAGGTTTTGTCCAGAGAATCTGCGGTGGGGAGGGCGGGGTGTTTGCTCGAGCATTGGGTTTGGCATCTCCCACTTTTTGCAAGATGGGTTTGATATTTGGCGCATTAGCTTGCGCCACCGCAGAAGAAAGAGAAACTCCTTCGCCCTCTCCCCACCTGGGGTTATCGCTCCTGGGACATTTCATTATCGATATATATATATTTATATATATATATATATATGTGTGTATATATATATATGATTCTGCCCCTTCGCTCATCTTCCGTGTGAGTTACATGTCGTCCCAGGCCAGCCAGAATCGACCCCCTTTCATCCGTGTCAATTCATCTCATGCGCGCACTTGTTTATATCAAGCGATCATGCTTTCAAAGGTTCCTTGACACATATTGTGGACACGGTCTACACGCACGCACATGTCGGCGTCTCACCAAACACGAGCTCTGGAATCATTCATCATAAGAACGTGGAAGCCCCTCAGGTTTGTCATCGCAAACTGCCCGCGCATATTTGCTGAAGTCACAAGAAAGTTTGTTGATTTTAGAAATCACGCCTTAAACCTGCAGTCTCATGTCGCCACGCGGTGTATCCGTGTTGACACAGCATGCGCAGAGTGTACCGACTCGCGTTACATAATACCACACGAACCTGCCGCTACGCGCGCGTGTCGAATTTATTCCACCCACTTGGTGTTCGAAACATGTCAAAATAGAGCTGCTCAGCAATAGAATAGCATGTTTTCGAGCACGAGTCGGCAGGTTTCTGGTAATGTGCGCGCGCATTTCGTAACCATCGCCCTTACTAACGCCACCGCGTTACCGCCGTTATCGGCATCGTCAATCGCCGTCATTGTTACTTTCATCAGGCAATCACCGTCATCACCGACACATGGGCATCATCGTCGTTGTTCTCACCGGCGCTGGCGTTGTCATTGGCCTTACCGTCGTTTTTCATCGTCATCACCACCATCGGTGCTATCATCATCGTTGCCGCAGTTGTCGGCGTCATTGTGGTACCGCGCCCGCCCGAATCACCGACCCGCGCTGAAGTGCCCGCGCGCCAGCGCGGCCTTTGACGCGCGCTGGCAAGTTCTCATCGGTAAGCGCCATCGCGGCCGCGTCGGCTGTGCCAAACCAGCGGGCCGCTCCGCGCGCGAACTTACGCGCGCTAGCGCAGCCACAGAGATGTCCCAGCCAGTGCTGGGCAGTCACCGCAATCGCCGCCGCATGGGTTGTGCACAGCAAGTTGCGTGTGGGAATATGATACGATTGCTTGAGCAATCGAATAGGCGAACCCAATTCCTGGAAGGTGGTTTCTCCTTCCAAGAGAAGAATCGACTCTACCACCCTGTCCCCCCCCCCAAGGGGACATTGCAAGTTCTAGACGCTTTGCGTTTCCCCGCCGGCCCATCCAGAAACGATGTCCAGGCGCGTTGAGGTGTTCAGGGAAGTGCAGGAGCAACGAGGTGGACGGCCGAACCGTGCGAAAGAGGGATGAGGAGAAGGAGGAGGCTGGATGGATAGATGAGGGAGTGGGGAACATAACATGAATACGATGATGATGGTGAGGAGGAGGAGGAAGAAGGAGTAGGAGGAGGAGGAAGGGGAAGCAGGGGGAGGAGGGCAAGCAAAAGGATTAGAGGTCTCTTGGGTGCCTCTCGGAACCTCTTGGGATATTGATTGGGCGCTTCTTGGAGGCCTCTTGGGACGTCTTGGGGGTCCTTCGGCGGTCCTGGAGGGCTCTTGGGCGTCTTGGGTGCCGTGGGGGGGCCTCTTGGGGCCGCTTGGGGTCCTCTTGGAGGCCTCCTGGGGGCCTCTTGGGGCGATCTTGGGGCCATATTGGGGCCATCTTGGGGCCATCTTGGGGCCTCGTGGGGACTTCCGGGCGCCTCTTGGGACCATCTTGGGGGGGATCGATCAAAGAAGGGGAGGGCCGCAATTCGCGTTGCCCCTCGGGAGCCGCCAAAAAGGCGCAAGTGGGGCCCAAACCCTAGTAAAACCAATGATTTTGGCTTCCTCGCCGACCGCACCCGTCCAGGTCCAGGGGAGGGGGTACGGGGGAAGGGTGAACCCCTCCCCGAAGGGGAAGAGGGAGGGGTGGAAGAGGAAACGTTCTGAACCACCTACGCCCAGAGGGCTGGTGGGATTACACATAATTCTGCCTCGTCGATCATCTGCCGTATGAGTTCATATCATCCCAGGCAGGCTTGGTAGCGCCCTCCTTCACCCCTGTCGAACAATATTATGCGAGTGCATTCGTTTCTCTCGAAAAATTATGTTCCAATATCCCCCCTGCAAACATATACACAACGTCCACGCGCGCATGTCGAACGCACGCCAAAGACGCAACCTTCGCTAACAGTTCCACGTAAACTCAGAAACAGTCGTTGTAGGTTCTTCCAACATAGAGCTTGCAACTTGTCCGCCCGCGCGCCTTTGCCGACACCGTAAGACAACCGCATGATGTTAGCAACCCCGCCACGAACCCGCAATTCATCTCACCGCCCGGCGCACCCGCGTTGATCCAGCATGCGTCAGGTGTGCGAACCCGTGTTAAGCAATACCGTGCGGGCCACGCGCGCGCCGCCATGCGAGCGTTTCGAATTCCTTGCAGCATCATCGGTGTTCGAATCATTTCAACACAGGGCCCTTCAGAAACGTAACAAGCAGTTGTTGTTCAACAACAAGTTTGCCAGAGTTCGTGCACTTCCGTGCGCGCATTTCCTCGCCACCGCCCCCATCGGCACCGCCACGTCGCGTCGTCGTCATCGTCAATCGCCGCCGTCGCCGCCATCGTCACTCAAGCACCTTCATCATCGACGCATGGTTTCTTCATCATCATCATCATCAGCATCATCATCATCATCATCATCATCACCATCATCATCACATCATCATCATCATCATCATCATCATCATCATCATCAGCGGCGTTGCCAACATCGGTGCCGTCATTGGCCTTGCCGTCGTTATTACCGTCATCGACGCTATCGCTACTACCAGCATCCTTGTCGCCGTCGCCGACGTCGTCCCGACGCAGCGCCCGCCCGAGCCACCGACCCGCGCTGAAGTGCCCGCGCGCCAGCGCGGCCTTCGATGCGCGCTGGGGGGTTGCCATCGGCAAACACCATCGCGGCCGCATCGGCCAAACCAGCTGGCCGCTTTGCGCGCGAGCCTGCAAGCGCCAGTGCGGCTGCGGAAATATGCTTGCCAGTGACAATGTGTCATCGCAATCGCTGCCGTGTGGCTTATGCGCAACAGGTTGCGGGTGGGGTGGGGTGGGTGGGGGGGGGCAGGGTTATTGCGAGAACAGTGGGTTTGACAACCCACGCGTTGTCAAAATTCAATGACACCACTCAGGTCGCACCACGTATATCGTGTATTGTATGTGTCACCGCGTAGAGCGCCCGCGTATAATGTAATTACCCACCGTTTGGACATCCACGCTAGCAAGCGGTGCGACAATACAACGGCAATGTAACATAATGGAGAATAGCGAAGTGCAGCGTGCAACGCGTTGCCGTGGAAAGCAGTTCGTGAGCATCGCGCCGCAGCGGCGAATGCAGGGCCGTCAATGACAAATTAATGCGGACACAATTGAACGTCAATGCAAACGCACTGTGCAAACGATTTATACACGTACATATACAGCGCAGCCCGATGCAACACATTAGTCAGCATGTGCTAGCAAGGCGCCTCCAGTGCGCTACAACCACAATGCACGTGCAATTCCGAACGCATGGTGCATCAAAGCAACGCCATGCCAGGCAATGAACAGCGCACCGACATCCACACGCAATGCCCACATTATGCAAACTGTTTGCAGTAACGTTGCACCAGCAAGACATGCCACTGCCATGGTCGTTTCTGTCATGGTGTGTTCTGCAATGCTGTGCTACGCCATTGCATATGCCTCGCAGTATTATCCAGCATGAAAGAACCAGCTTTGCCACGATGCGCTGCCATGCTACGGCGCGCTATGCTATACCATGCGATGCCATTCTATGCTTCGCGAGCGCTGAGCTTTTGAGTGCGCGCGAGGAGCCAGGAACCGAACGTCAAAGAGACGGCCGCGCAACCGACGCAACGACCCTTTTTTTTGGCACAGAGGACGCAGGTGGCCGTCAGGCGCAGCCGCGCAGGGGGAACCGTGACCCAGGCTGAACCAAAAAAGCGGCTCCCGGGAACGGGTCGATAGTTACGGGGCCCAGGTATGGGTCATCATCCCAGTGTCGGAGTTCCAGAGAGGTGCCCTAGTAATAAGTCGTCGTCGCCGCTGCCGTCGTCGCCGCCATCGTCTTCGTCGTCGCGAGGTCCGCGCGGCGCGCCGCTCCGGCGCGGGGCGCGGCGGCGGCCGCGGAGGCCTCCGGGGAGGCGCGCCGCGTGCCTTCGACGCGGGGGCGACGGCGCTGCGCGTGCCGACGTCGACCGGCTGGGCGGCGCCCTGCGAGATGCTGGCGGCGCAGGTGCGCGCGGCTGTCCAGTCCCGCGGGCCGCCGTCGAGGAGCTGCCTCCCGTCTCAGTTGCGATGCCGCGGCCGCCGCCGCTCGGCGGCGCCGCGCTCGTGCGGCGGGTCCGCTGCGCTCGGCCCAGTGGGGGCGCGATCGCAGGGCGGCCCTCGTTTCCACTCTACTCGTGCCGGCGGCGCGGCAGCGTCGATCTGCTGCGCCGCGCCCCCCGTGCCGAGGGAGCCCCTGTTTGCGAAGGCTGCGCTCTCCTCGGGTTCTCTCTCTCTCTCTCTCTGCGCAAGCCCCGTGGTGGGCCGTGCACGTAGCTATGGGGGCTCGGGTGCACGGCCCACAGATGAAGCGTCCAGTGTGGCCATGGCGCATTCTGCGCCCGTCCGCTCGGTGGGTGGGCCCTCCGCGGCGGATCCCCTCGCTGGCCCCGCCGCCAGCGGCCTCGGGCCCAGCGGCGGTCCGTCGAACGCGGCGCCGTGCGGGTCGTCGCGCCAGGCGGGTCCGAGGATCGCGAATGCTTGCAGCGAGCTTGCTCAGGCTTGGTAGCCTGCCGCTGCGAGTGTGCTCGCTGGGAGGCCAGTCGTGGAGAAGGCCTGTTTTCTCGGATTCCACCTCCGAGCGTCGAGGTAGCCGCCGACCTGGGGAGTGGTCCGAGGCGGCTGCCGAAACGCTGATGAGATTCATGCTCTGGGCGCCAGGCGGGTCCGAAGATCGCGAACGTACGCGTCGAGTTCTTGCTGTGCCCAGGCTCGGGAAGGCGACGTTCCTCGCCTCCGCCTGCTGCTGCCTCCTGGCGACCCAACTGATCGGTGGAGGTTTGTGTTCGTGACTTGGCGCTCCGCTGGGGGCGCCTGGCGAGTCCAAGGATCGCGAATGCCTGCGCTGAGCTGGCTGGTGAATTTGGGCGCTGGCGCGTACTCTGTCCAGATGTGAATCTGAGAAGCACCACCCGAAGCTGGGGGTTTCAAGCATGCCGCGGCGATTTGTCGTGGCCGATATGCTTGGCGCCGCCCGGCTGCGTGATGCTGATCCTCGCTTGTGCCATTCGATGTGGCGGTCTGCCGCTGCGTGCGAGGCGCCGATGGAAGCGGTTGTGCTGGAGGCGCCGCAGATCCACGTCTTCTGGCTGCAGCGGCTGTTAACCATCATGTTCGCGCTGATGGTCTCGATGCTGTACCTCCGCCTCACCGTTCTCACCCTTGGCGTGTTAGTCGTCCAGCCGATCGTGCTCTTCCTAGTGGTGCCGATGCCGCTCGTCATGGTCACAGTGACCATCCTGCTGTTGGTAACGTCTTTCCTGCTATTGCTCGGGCTGTTCATCATATTCCAACAGACGGCGCCGTCGATTCTCCTGCTGATGCCGTTCGCCATTCTAATGCTGCTGGGGGCTGGTGGTCCTGGCCGACAGGAGTCCCTGCTCTCTGGGTGCCCTTGCACACAAGTCCTGCTCTCTTTCACTTGGTTAGTGCTTCAGCCGATCGTATGACATACATTGTTCTGGCCGTTTTGAGAGGTTCTTGCTGATCTGGATGAACCAGTCCATCTTCGTGGAGGTGTTTATCCTCACGTTGGTCTTCCCGACGAAGGCTGTGTGCATGGATGTGTCGATCATCTGGATGACACCGTTCTGTTACGTGGAGGTGTTCTTCGCCCCCACTTTCTGGACGAAGGCGGTGTGCATGGAGATGTCGATCCTTGATGGCGCGGGATTTCTGAGCCATCACTCGTCCCTGGAGGTGTTGTTCGGCACGCGGTTCGCTTGTGGGAAGCTGCTCGTGATGATAGAAGTTATGACGGCGTGGGCGATGGAAGGCAGTGCGAAGTTCTATCTGAGGTCCCCGGGCTTCCCTGCTTTGAGGTGCGTGGTGCTTTCGACTCTTCCCTCGCTGCTGTTGAGGTGATTGGCACCAAGACCGCAGTCTTTCACAATCTCGTTTCCCTGTGGTCGGAGTTGGCTGAGATCGAATCCAGCCTCGCCTCTATTTCCTTGCATGCTGCCTGCTCTCGTGGTCCCAAGGTGGCGCGACAAAAACAACGAGGCACGACATACACACGTATTCGCTTGCGTGATCGTTTGCGGTCGCAGGTGGATTCGGTAGCCTACAAATGGGCAGCGCTGAAGGTGCCGATCAGCAGCATGACAGCTCCCTGACCACCTTATAATAACCCGTTGTCTCTGTTGTTGCGTCTCCTGTCGTTCTGCCCCCTGTTCGTCTCGTGTCGTCGCCGTGCCGCCGTTCCTCTCCTACCGCCTCCCCTCGCGCTGTCGCTTCTGCGCCTCGGGGCTCTCGCCCCTTCCCCCCCTCGGCCCCTTCGTCCTCTCCTTCCTGCTTCACGGCTCGCCCTCTGTGTGAGCGGGGCGCGCGCTCTCCGAGGCCCTCACTGGGTCTCGGAGGACGTCTGCTCCCGTCGGTGTTTTTTGTTCTTTCTGGCGAGGTCTGCGGCTGCAGTGCAGGGCAAGTCCTCGTCACCATCATCATCACCATCATCGTCATCGTCATCGTCATCGTCATCATCATCGTCATCATCATCGTCATCATCATCATCATCGTCGTCGTCGTCGTCGTCGTCCGTCCGTCCGTCCGTCCGTCCGTCCGTCCGTTGTCCGCTGGTCACTGTCCACGTCGTCTACGTCGCCGCAGTTCTTGTTGGAGATGCTCTAAGCTTCCCAGTGTTCTGTCCTGCCGAGTTTCGGCGATCCCATTTACATGTTCGAGGTTTTGTGGGAGGAGTGTAGATAGATACTTTGAGTTTCAGTTGTTTTATCCAGTTCTCGTAGCTTTCAAAATCCCTCGATATTTTCGGGATTGAATGGGGATCTGAATGGTAGGGAGGAGGAGGAGGGGGAGGGTGGGGGAAAGAGGAACAGCAAGGAGGGGGCGGGGGGCAAACAGAAGAGGGATGCGGAATGACAGAGGAGGGGAACATGAAAAGAGGGAGGCGAAAGAGAGTCGGGGTATATGGACGCGGGATGACGGAAGGGGGAGTGGTGTTGGGGGAGGGAGGAGTCAGGAGGAGGAAAGAACAGCGGGAGGAGGTGGGTGAGGAGGAGGGGAGAGGATGAAAGGAATGGGAGGAGGAGGAGGAGGCTGATGGTGATGATGGTGATGATGACGATGATGATGAGGATGATGATTCTGATGATGATGAGGAGGATGATGATGATAGTGATGAGGATGAGGATGAGGATGAGGACGAGGATGAGGATGATGATGCTGATGCTGATGATGCTGATGCTGCTGATGATGATGATGATGATGACGATGACGATGACGATGACGATGAGGATGATGATGATGATGATGATGATGATGATGATGATGATGGTGGTGGTGGTGGTGGTGGTGGTGGTGATGATGATGATGATGATGATGATGAGGGGGAGGAAGAGGATGAGGAGGATAACGATGAGGAGGAGGAGGAGGAGGAGGAGAAGTAGGAGGAGGAGGAGGAGGAGGAGGAGGAGGAGGAGGAGGAGGAGGAGGCGACGACAAGGACAGCCCGCAGCGCCCGCGCCCCCTCCCCTGGCGGGGGTCGGCGGTTACGCGCTGCTGGAGGGTCGGTTTCCGTTTGCCGACGATGCCCAGATCATGGGCCTCGCCCCGGAGTTCAGCGAGGCCCCCGCAGCCTTCGGGGGCAACTCACGGGGGGATGAGCTCAGAGGGGGTATGGCATCGACCCCTGAGCGCCCACTGACCGCCGATGGAGGTTGGAAAGCCCAACCCGCCCAGGACCGCTGGGATTCGGCATCGGGGGCCTATCGCCGATTTACCGGGAATGCATCGCCGATTCAAGCTCGATGTTTCTCCCGGTGAGCTGGTTCCACCCCCCCAACGATCCCCCTCACCATCATCTCTCCCTTCCTCTCTGTGGAGATCGGTGTCTGTGTCTGTGGTGTCTGTATGACTTCGCATCTTTCGGCTTTGTCTGTGCTGTTTCCTGTGCCTGGGACGTTGGTTTCCCGTCATTGGGGCTCTCCATTCCACCCTTTCGCCCTCCCCCGCCACCCTTTCTCCATGATCAGCGTCGCCCTCGCCAAGTCGTTCACAACAGTCAGACTGATTCATACCAACACTCACGTACAGTCGGGGCCCTGAAGAAGGAACCCTTTTCGTTCGGGAGGGGCTCCGCGTTCCTCAAGTGTTTCGCAGCTGGCCTCGGGTTTTCCTTAGGTTTCCGATGGGGAATCGAAGGTTACCTTATGGAAAATAGGGGCCTCGTTCCCTATTTAGGGTTCCTTGGGTCAACGCCTCGACGGTATGTCCATTCACACTCAGACCCGTTCGCCCTCCACTGCAATCGCGCGCAGATGCAGATTCATACAAATGATGTGCAGGACTGCATCGGCGCTTCGCGCCATGCACTTCTGGCCCTCCAGGATCGGAGTGCGCGCGGCAGGCGGGGCGCGGGATAGAGAGAGAGAGAGAAAAAGAAAGCGAGAGAGAGAGAGAGAGAGACATAGGACCCCTAATGTTGAAGGTTCCTTGTTGCCTTTCGCCCCATGGTTGCTACAAATCTGCTATATATATATATATATATATATATATATATATGTCACGTGTCCCTTATGTTCCCTCTTTATTATTACTCGTCGTTTGCGAACGCGTCCCTGTCACCATTTTCAGATGTTATTGCGTGGCCTCCTCCTTGGAGGGCTTTCCGGGAATCTCGCGAGAGCTTTTTGGGGCGTCTGGTGGTCTTTCAGTACTTGTTGGGTTCTACTGGAAGCTCCTTTTGATCCTTCAGCGCTTCCGTGGGCGCAGTCCTGAACCCCGCCGTCCAATGTATGCTATGCAGTGTGCGAAACGTTTACATGCCCGAAAGCAATCACATGGGCATGCCACGTTGCAAGTGACAAGCGAACTATCACCTTCCGAATAACGATTCAGAGAACACCACTTGTGGGATAACCAAGTCAAACATCATGCGTACCTGGGTTTGCGCATGATACGGATGCAACACCACCCGTGTGATAGGAAATCCAGACACAGCCCGATGTAAAGACTTGAACCTATCGCATCTGTATAGGTCCAAGTCATAGGTCCGTATCCGCCGACCCCTTGGGGCCCCAGCTTCTGGAGCAGTCGTGAGCACAGACGGGGGAAACACGAACAGGGAGGGAGGCGAGTCCCTGTTATTGGGCGCCTCCGGATTTTCTTGGAGGCCCTTTGGACCGTCGTGGGGCACTTTTGGACCGTTTTGGCGCCCTTGTGGGCCGTCTCGGTGGGAGCTTCTTGGGGCTGTCTTGGGGCTTTCCTGGGAGCCTCTTGGGGCCGTCTTGGGCTGTCTCGGGGCTCTCTTAGGCCGTATTGGGGCTGCCTTGGGCTGTCGTGGGGCTCTCTGGGGCTGTCTTGGGGCTTGGGGCTTTGTGGGTGCCTCTGGTTGTGTTTTGGGGCGATTTTTGGGGCCTCTAGAATTGTTCTGGAGCCTTGGAAAACAACAGAACGAGCATGGCTAAACATGTACGATTCAAGGATTGGAGCGATGTTTGCTGGCTAGGCGTTCTCTTGGGGCTCTTCGGGTTCTCTTTGGGGGGCTTCTTGGACCGTCTTGGAGCTACTTCGAGGCCTTTTTCGGCGTTTTGGGGATTTCTTGAATTGTCGTGCAGCCATGCGAGGCTGTCTTGGAGCGTTCTTGGGCCGTCGCGCGCACGCACAGCGTATTCTTCCCCCTCCGTACTCGAACTCACCCGTGCACAGAGCCCCTCATATTCATACCCACCTACACCTGGACTCACTTTTCAGTCTTTCAATGCAGAGCCCCGTGGCGCGTCTCTCTCGCTCTCTTTGTCTGCCTCTCTCCTCTCTCCCTCTTTTTCTGTCTGTCTGTCTGGCTGTTTGTCTGTCTGTCTGTCTGTCTGTCGGTCTGCCTGTCTGTCGTTTTTTTTTTTTTTTTTTTTTTTTTGTTGTTGTTTTTTTTTCTCTCTCTCTCTCTCTCTCTTTTTCCTTCTCTTCGATCTATACAGGTATACATGTCTGAAATTGTTGTTGTTGTTGGCATTTTTTCCCCCTTCTCTCTCTCTCTTTCTCTCCAGAGCCCCAGGATCACCACGATGTAGCAGGCATCGCACTCTCTGGGTTCCACGAGAGCGTCGACCAGGGGTGTTTCAAGGGCCCGTTCGCGCCCATTTTGGTGGGGCCCCGCAGGTAGAACGCCTCCAGGAGACACGCGTCTCTCTACAGGGCCCCGTTATCACCGCGATGCAGCAAGCGTTGGCCACTCGAGCCCTCGAGGCTGGGTCCACGCAGGGGGTTGCATGTCAAAACATGAAAAGGTACCCATACCGCTACCCCCTCGCCCGCTTTCCCATTTTTGGGCCTCCCGGGAGGCCCTCGTCGCCTCCACTGGATTCGCCTCGAAATCCTGGTTAGAACGCACCCCTGGAGAGGCCCGGGGGGCCGCTCGGGGGCGGCCAAGAGGGGGTGATGACTAGGGGTGGTGAATATCATGGCGTGTGCCATGATACTTCCCCAGACTTCATGGCGCCTCTTCTTATTTCATTACGTTCGTGGCCCCCCCCCCTTGGGCCGTGCACATGCCGCCGGCCATGTTTTGCACCCCCCCCTCTTGGACGCCCCCCATCCTGGCCGCCCCCGAGTGGCGGTATCGGTACCCTATGGTCTCCCCGGGGGGGTAGCAGTATCGGTCTCGGCCTTTGTTGCTTCCCCCCGGGCCGCCCCAGGGAAAACGCACCCCTGGAGAGGCCCCGGGGGGGGGTAACGGCATCGGTGCGCTTTTGGTTTCCCCGGCGCCGGCCCCGCTCGCGCCCCGGCATGCGCAGCCTGCTCCCGGCGGAGGCCCGCGCCTCCTCCTCCTCCTCCTCCTCCTCCTCCTCCTCCTCCTCCTCCTCCTCTTCCTCCTCCTCCTCCCCTCGGAGCCCCCCTCTGGTGGTCACCGCGAGGTGCAGCAGGCCTCGTCGGCCACCCGCGGGGCCCGGGCCGTAGTGTTGTGGCGGCCGCCGAGCCGCGGCCTGCGGCCCGTGGCGGACGCTGCTGGGGCCGTGCCTGTGGCTCGCGGGCGGTCTGCGTCTCCCCCCCAGCCCCCCGCGGTGTCGACGAGTTGCCGGAGTGCGGGGAGCCGCTTTTCTTGAGTTCCAGAGCCAGCGAAGGGTCTTTTTTTGCATTCCGGAAGCGGGCTCTGGAGTCCCGAGCCAGGGGGAGCCGCTCAGAAGAGGGCGGGGAGCCTCGGGATGCGCCCCGAAAGGGGGCTCTTCGGGCGCACCCCTGTCGAGGCTGGGCGCCCCCCCTCCATCGTGCATATCCCGAGCTTCGGCCCCAGATCTCCGTCCTCCCTCCTCCCTCCCTTCCTCCTCCTCCCTCCTCCCTCCTCCCTCCTCCCTCCTCTCCCTTCGAAGACCTCCCAAAGCCTGGGATGGTGGTCCACGTGTCCCCTGCCAGTGGCCGCGGCTTTGGCCGTGGGCTTTCTGGGCGTGGCCCTGGCCGCCGGCGTGGCCGTGGCCACCCAGGCGGGGTCGAGGGTCGAGGATCCAGGATCGAGGATCGAGGATCCAGGATCGAGGATCGAGGATCCAGGATCGAGGACCGAGGATCGAGGACCGTGGACCGAGGGTCGAGGATCGAGGATCGAGGACCCAGGATCCAGGATCCAGGATCCAGGATCCAGGACCGAGGATCGAGGATCGAGGACCGAGGACCGAGGACCGAGGACCGGGGGGGCATGCTCCACGGCCGAGCCAGGAGGGTGCAAAAGAAAAAAGCCGCGCCCCGCCCCAGGGTGTGGCCTGGCCATCGGCCGGCGGATCTGATCTGCACAGGGTCTGGCCGCCCCGAGTCGCTTCGCCCTTCCCTCTTTTCCCCGCTCCCTCCTCCACCTCCTCCTCCTCCTCCTTCTCCTCCTCGTCCTCCTCCTCCTCTCCTTCACCTCCTCCTCCTCCACCTCGTCGTCCTCCACCTCCTCGTACTCCTCCTCCTCCTCCTCCTCCTCCCCTCCTCCTCATCCTCCTCCTCCGCCTTCTCCTCCTCCTCCTCCTCCTCCTCCTCCTCCGCCTCCTCCGCCTCCTCCTCCTCCTCCTCCGCCTCCTCCTCCTCCTCCTCCTGGGGGAACCGAGAGATACCGATATCGCCACTCCCCAGGCCTCTCCGAGGTTGCGTTCGGGCCAGAAGTTCGCAGCAAGTCCGGGCCCTCGCCGCCAAGCGCCGGACTCGCCCCGAGCTTCTGGCCGGCGCGCGCCCTGGGAGGGGCCGGTGGAGCACAGTCAGCCCGCATGATAAGGAGGGGCGAAAAAAACACACAGACACAATTAATCGTCGATTCCCCAGAAAATATGGGAAAATATGGGAAGTGGGGGGAAGACAAAAGCCCAGAAGATATAGGAAAGTACGGGGGATATTTCTATTTGTGTGTATTTATTTGTGTGTCCCAGGGCCCCTTTAGATGAGGATGGGCAGCCTTCCCCAGGGTGCCCTTGCATCCTTGCCTCCTCGGTCCATCCTTGACCGCTTTCGCTGGCCGCGCCCCGCTCGCAAGGTGTCGACATGGCCTCCCAGGGCCCTTGCATCTGTGGCGTGCATCCCTGTGATACGGGTTGGCCGTAGCGGAGAGAGGGTACCTTTTGGTCTGCCCAAGGCCTCGCGGCCTTGAGGGTGTGTGTGTGTGTGTGTGTGTGGACCGTTTTGAAGCTACTTGGGGGCCTTTTTGGGCATTTTCGGAGTTTCTTCGGCTGTCGTGGAGCCAGATGAGGCCGTCTTGCAGCGCTCTTGGGCAGTCTTGGGGCCGCATTGGACCTCCTTTGGGCCACACTGGGCGCGAGGGGCACTCGAAACTCGTTCGGTGGGGGTATCTTTTGATCTCCCCAAGACCTCGCCGCACTGAGGGGGGGGCGCTTCAGCTTTGATGGCTCGGTTTTCGTGAAATGTCTGCAGCGGGAGCTCGCGTCAGATTTCAGACTGGGCCTCGTCATTTTCGTGATGGCCCCGTCAGGTCAGCCCAAGCCGAATCCCCCGAACCCGAGTCTTGCGTCTCCTCCACCTCCTCCTACTCCTCCTCTTCCTCCTCCTCCTCCATTCTTTTCCTGATAAATAATTTTTCCTTGTCCCACCCCGAGGCCAGTTTTTGGGCGGGCCAGGCGTTTCGCCTGAGACTTACGCACTATAACTCTGAAGCTTAAGCAATTTCAAGAGTTTCAAAGATTGAGGGCGGGTGGTTTTCAAACTGTGGTTCTCGCTTCAGCGCGGCGCACATTCGCTTTAAACATTCACAAGAGTTCCACGGATCGAGGGCGGGTGGTTTTCAACAAGTGGCTCTCGCTTTAGCGCGGCGCACATTCGTTTCAAACAGTTGCAGGAGTTTCACGGATAGAGGGCGGGTGGTTTTCAAATTGTGGCTCCCGCCTCAGCGCGGTGCACATTCGTTTCAGAAAGTTGCAAGAGCTTCACGGATCGAGGGCGGTTCCTTTTCAAAATGTGGCTCTCGCCTTAGCGCCGCGCACAATCGCTTACAACATGTGCAGGAATTTCACGAATTCCCATCATCAGCGTATCAGAAAGTGTTTTGGAAGGATTCAGGATTTTGCGGGTGCAGTAGTTACGTTGATTCTTTGTGTTGAAGTCCCAGGAATGACGTTCTGGCACGATTTGGGATCGACGAGACTCAACAGTCAGGTTGATCCGTGGCGTTGGAATCCCGAGAACAATCAGAGTGAGGGGGCTGAACTGAACGGTCATTCACTGTCCCTGGGTGCATGGCTGAAGTGGAATTCCGCGAGGCGGATTCTCGTTGTTGTGTGGTTGTTGTTGAACATTATTTATTCTAAAGAATAATTATTGTTGGGACCCCTGGTGCGCGACCCCCTCGCCGCGCCTAGGCCGCAGCCACGTTTTCATCATTTTCGTGAGGAAGCCTCAGGTAAAACGATGTCATCCAGATCCGGTTGTTTTGTTGAATCCGCTTTCCCTTGCAAAAAACACTATAAAATGAAATTTCTTGTTCTAATATATCAAATTTCAAGAATCCCTTGCAAAAAATAAGGTAAAGTGGACATTCGCGCGCGCAAGACGAAATCCTTCCAAAAGCTTAGTGTTCGGAGCGATTTTAACATAAAATCTCATCCCGCGCGCTCTTGCGGATTCGTAGGAAAACCAACACTTTTTAAACATTTCTGTCAAACGGGCTTTTGCGAGCAACTTTTTCGAACTTCTGCGACAACGGTTGCGCACCTGCCAGGGCCATCATCCCTGTCAAATAATACCATGCGGGACACATTCGTTTTTTCTTCGCGCGCGCACGCCGTCGTCGTCGGCCGCGGGGCCCTGAATAGTAGCCACGGTCGTCCGCATGCCACGAAGTGAAGTGTCCGAACGTCATAGGGCGGGAAGCTGGGTGTGGGTGGTGGCGAAGAGTCGTTTGGAAATTTGGTAGAGCTTGAACCGGCCCCCCCACAAAGTGGGGGTATTGCCCGCCTCCTATGAAAACCCTGGCACTGGTGAGAACGGAGTGTCCCCAGTCTTAATGATTGTTGTTGTTGTTGTTGTTGTTGTTGTTGTTTTTGTTGTTGCTGTTGTTGTTGTTGTTGTTGTTGTTGTTGTTGTTTTTGTTGATGTTGTTTGTTGTTGTTTGTTGTTGTTGTTGTTGTTGTTGTTGTTGTTGTTGTTGTTGTTGCTGCTGCTGCTGCTGCTGCTTGTTGTTGTTGAACATTATTAATTCTAAAGAATAATTATTGTTGGGCCCCCTGGTGCACGGCCCCCCTGCGCCGCCTAGGCCGCAGCTACATTTTCATCATTTTCGTGAGGAAGCCTCAGGTAATTCGATGTGATCAAGATCCGGTTGTTTTGTTCCCCCCCGCTTTCCCTTGCAAAAAACACTATAAAATGACATTTCTTGTTCTAATATAATCAAATTTCAAGAATCCCTTGCAAAAAATAAGGTAAAGTGGACATTCGCGCGCGCAAGACGAAATCCTTCCAAAAGCTTAGTGTTCGGAGCGATTTTAACATAAAAACATCAAAAAACCAATGGTTTTTCAACAAAAAAATGTCAAAATCTCATCCCGCGCGCTCTTGCGGATTCGTAGGAAAACCAACACTTTTTAAACATTTCTGTCAAACGGGCTTTTGCGAGCAACTTTTTCGAACTTCTGCGACAACGGTTGCGCACCTGCCAGGGCCATCATCCCTGTCAAATAATACCATGCGGGACACATTCGTTTTTTCTTCGCGCGCGCACGCCGAAATCTCCAAAAACCATTGGGCTTCTTAAGAATTTTAGCACCGCGCATCATAAAATCACACGAATCGCACCGTAGGTCCTCGAAAAACACCTGCACGACTTTTCAAAATTTCTACCCGCCGCGCTGTACGATCGGGACAACCACAACCATCAGGACAACCATCGGGACAACCATCGAGACAACCATCGGGACAACCATATCCTCTCTCTCTTGTGTATTCCCACATCCCTCAGGAATTTGCCCTAAAGATGTGATCAACTATCTTGTGAGTACGTATCATGTGTATCATGTGTATCATGTACCATATGCATCATATGCAACAGATGTTCTGTGGAAGGCTTCACAACTTCTGTGGGTTAACAAGGCTTAACAACTTCTGTGGGTGTACGAACGTAGGCTTAACAACTTCTGTGGGTGTGTACTCCACGCCAGTGTAGTAGCCACGGTCGTCCGCAGGCCACGAAGTGAAGTGTCCGAACGTCATAGGGCGGGAAGCTGGGTGTGGGTGGTGGCGAAGAGTCGTGTGGATATTTGGTAGAGCTTGCACTGCCCCCCCACAAAGTGGGGGTATTGGCTGGCGTCGCATGAAAACCCTGGCACTGGTGAGAACACTGAGCGTTCGGGTAAAGTGATTGTTGTTGTTGTTGTTGTTGTTGTGGTTGTGTTGTTGTTGTTGTTGTTGTTGTTGTTGTTGTTGTTGTTTTTGTTGTTTTCGTTGTTGTTTGTTGTTTGTTGTTGTTGTCGTCGTCCTACCCGCGACCCGCCCCGCGACCCACCCGCGACCCACCCCGCGACCCACCCGCGACCCACCCGCGACCAACCCCTCGACCCACCCGCGACCCACCCCGCGACCCACCTGCGACCCACCCCGCGACCCACCCGCGACCCACCCGCGACCCACCCGCGACCCACCCCGCGACCCGCCCGCGACCCACCCGCGACCCCACCCGCGACCACCCCGCGACCCGCCCGCGACCAACCCCGAGACCCCCCCGACCCGCCCGCGACCCCGCCCCGCGACCCCACCACCCGACCCACCCGCGACCCCCCCCGCGACCCACCCGCGACCCACCCGCGACCCACCCGCGACCCACCGCGACCCACCGCGACCCACCCGCGACCCACCCGCGACCCACCCGCGATCCACCCCGCGACCCACCCAAAATTTTTCGGCGCCTGTGGCGGGCTTCTTTTGCATTCGTTCCAGGTGGAGAACCTGCGACCCACCCGCGACCCAAACCGCGTTCAGTGTACAAATCAAAATATTCGGCGCCTGCGGCGGGCTGTTTTCGAATTCCTTCCAGGTGGAGGTGGAGAGCCCGTGACCCACCCGCGACCCAAACTACGTTCACTGAACAAGCCCAAACTTCGGCGCCTGCAGTGGATTTCTTTTGCAGTTGTACCAGGTGGAGAATTTGCGACCCAAGCTGCGTTCAGTGTACAAATCAAGGCGCCTGCGGCGGGCTGTTTTCGAATTCCTTCCAGGTGGAGGTGGAGAGCCCACGACCCACCCACGACCCAAACTACGTTCACTGAACAAGCCAAGAACGGAGGAGGCGGACGACGACGACGATGAGGACGAGGACGCGGACGAGGAAGAGGAGGAGGAGGAGGTGGAGGAGGAGGAGGAGGAGGAGAGGAGAGGAGGAGGAGGAGCAGAGGAGGAGGAGGAGGAGGAGGAGGAGGAGGAGGAGGAGGAGGAGGGCGCCATCGACAGGGAAACTGAGGGCCACGAGGTCCGCCAGCTCGACGCCCGCGTCGCCCGCGCCCGCCCCCTCACTCTCATCCGCAATTGCGAGGTGCTACGTATTTTGTCGTGCTTCAGGGTCTTCAAACGGTTGTCCTCCAGCGAGGCAGTTCCCTCAATGGAAATGACTTGCTGTAGGGGCCTATGAAGAGGCAGCTTGGAGGGAGGGTTTACTCCAACATCGTTGATGACTCTTGGGTTCAGCGCTGCACGCGCGCGGCCCAGGACCTGCCCGAAGGCGCCGCCGGCTACGTCGGGCGCCTGCTGCGGAAGGCCGAGGCCGGCCGCCCGGGCGCCGCCGAGGCGCTGGGGCACCCCTGGTCCGGGCCTCTGGAGAGGAGGAGGAGGAGGAGGAGGAGGAGGAGGAGGAGGAGGAGGAG